AGCCGGTTGTGTCACTGATGTTTTTACCACATTTTGATGTCTTCTGTGATCTATTATTGTACAGACCCACAGCAACGTAGAATCGATTTTCTAATTGTAGAGATGACGAAAGGTTGTTAATAATGACGTCATCTATGCGTTTGTCTTCCAACAGAACATAAGTAGTACCAATAAAATGCTTGTATAATTCCGCTTATCGTATAATTTTATATGAGTAGCATATATAATTATATATGATAATAAGTCCACTTAGGAAAACACACCTGAAAAGAAACTCTCGAAGCTTACACTAGGTTGTTCAACAGTATTCAAATCAGACGGCATATCCAATGCGATGCACACGCAGATCATCAAACAAGCCATAGCTGTTGCTACACTAGCACTGATAGCGATCCCTCAGAAGTGCTTGGGCGTTCCCAGCCACGAGTATGGCAGCAGAACAGCAAAACAAATCACGAGCCAAATACGCAATTCGCCGGTTTTCCCAACATCAGCCACGTGCAGACTGACAAGATTTGCCAAGTTTCCCGCCGCCAGGATCAAAAGCACTACACACACCCCTAGTCATAATATCAAAACAGTAACGTCAGATAAAACCTAAACATCTCATTGTCCAAGCGTGGATGTTTGTTCCAGATGTAAAAATATTAGTTTAGGAGCCTTATCAAAGACATCAAGGTTGACCAATGTTTCGCATGGTATTGATGCGAAGCTATGTTTTGCTGCACGAGAGTTGAAAAAGAGGATATAACTCATATTTACCTTTTGATTTACTACCCTTTACAAAAGTGATGGAACCCAGAATTTTTGCTCTCAGGAGAACGTAAGATAAGTGCCATAAGGCAGCACCACCTCCGTTTGAACCCCTTAAATCTAAAGATGTGACAGGCAATTTTCTTTCTCAGCTGTCACACATTTCTATGCATAAAATTAGTTAAGAGGATTTAGTTTTTCGATCATATTCTCTAACCGATCAGCGAAAGTACTCCTATGTTTCAAGGAGATTTTTTCATGTCAAGAAAACACTCCTGAAAGTCAGAGGGAACTGTTTTGAGTAAGTGTGGAAGATTTCAGGCACGGCGAGAATAATGATGAAGGATTAGGATTATTAGCTATAGACTTAATACAATTAAAAGTACAACTGTTATTTCTTTCCTTTGAGACTTGTAGTGCAGAATGAACCTCTTTCGCCAAAATGCAAACGCCATATAGGGTTAAGGGGTGGGGAAGTAAAGGAATATTGACCGTGATGATATACCTAACATTTGCCCCACAAGACACTGGTATACCTTAAAATTGTAAGGAGTCACCCGAAAATTTCCTCGGCCTGATTGTGACGCCGTGAAGGCACATCAGAACGATCTTTCGTAGCAGTCACCTGCATTTTAGTGAATGACACTGGATTCTCTAGAGATTATCAACCTGCTTATAAGTTGTCCTGTAGGGATGATGAGCACAAAAACGTCGGTGATTTCTCTTTCGCGCGGGATGCTTATGCAAATCAAGTCACAACCTCGGTCCTGTTTCTCAGGGACGAGAGGTCCTGGGAACGAAGCAAAGCGGAGTTCAAAATGGCTATTTGATTGCTAAACCTGAAATGAACTGTCTCACACGACTCTTTAAGTAAGTAACATATTTAGAAGTGGGAACCCAAAAGCAATTTTTAGAAAATTCACTTGGGGCATTAGACTCAAAAATAATCGAGCAAGCAGACGTCATCTTCGTGAATCATATCATGTAAAATAGAGTAAATACTCAAGGCCTAGGTGGAGCCTAAACACTTTAAAAACTCACTGCCTCGCATGTATGTATTATAATAAAGCAATTATTGATTGATAACCCTGCAGCGAAGGATGATGCATGTGTTCAGTCCCTTGGAAGCGTCTCCTGTTGCTCCCTAAAAGTTTCCTGGCACCTGCTTCCGTGTTCAATTTCTAAAGTTAAAAATCTCTAGTTAATCAATAAGCATTTCATTTCAATGTTATTTTCAGTACTGTATCGATCAGTGTGATGTTGATGCAGACAGTCACAGCCAATGATGCTCATCTTCCATAAGCATTTTCTCCGATTGCTGGGTACGGGGACCGTACGTATTCGTTGTACTCGCTATGCCTCTTAAGAAGAGTCGCCCACGATCTCCCAAGAACCGTTCCACATGATAGACATGACAGCGTAACTTGTTTTCGTCACGCAATCTTCATAAATTACATGTATTTGACAAGTGCCTGATAAGTGCTTGAAATTAACACAATCTTTTCTGTTGACAGGAGAATGACTTTGACACAAGAGATTGGACTGAGAGATGTTTTGATACCATTGGAATGCGTAATCCATTTGAACTCAGAGCTGAAGATCTCCCAGAGCAGCCAAACTACTTCACTTGTGCCTTCAGAAAAGACAAACTTGACAAGTACGTTTTCTTTGTTAACCATCAGGATTATGGTTAACAAATGGTTATGGTTAACCGTGATGATTTCTTCAAAAGTGCTCAGCGAAGCAGAATTGTAAGTGATTCCTGTAACACAGGATGTTTACTTTGAACTCAACTTTATCATTACAACATTACAAGTCTGATAGTTTTACAGTCATGTATGTCTTGTAGTACCTGCTATGGTAGGTCTTCTACTCACTGAACAATGACCAAATGTTATATTCATCCTTTGCCTGATTTATAAAATAGTATACTCAGGTAACACATCTCAGACAGAGATGGCAAAACGAATAGAAGTACAGTAATTATTGATGTTCAATTGCAAGCACGTTCACAGAATTTTGACAAGAACACAGTATGGTGAGAAGAGGAATCAGATTGGTA